CTCATTCTATGATTATGTTTATCATTGCATGTTTTCTTTCGATGGGATGTTGACTAATATATATGTATTAATTTTTATAGGGTGCACATAAAGTAAATCCAATGTTTATACCAAGAGTTTTAATAAATATGGCAGCAGGTCACTTAAGTTTGAAATATGGGTTTCATGTAAGCTATATATAAATATATTATTGGTTCCTAAAACTTTGAGCTAATTTTCTTTAAATATTTATATAAAAGGGTCCAAATCACTCAGTGTCAACAGCATGTACTACCGGTGCACATTCAATAGGTGATGCTAGTAGATTCATACAGTTTGGTGATGCTGATGTTATGATTGCAGGTGGATCTGAAGCATGCATACTGCCATTAACCATAGCAGGATTTGCAAAGTAATATTAAGTTACATAAGAATGACTTTTCTTTACAAATTATTAATATTATCATTATTAAATAATAATTAGAGCAAAATCTTTAGCAACAAAATTTAATGACAATCCAAAGGAAGCTTCAAGGCCATTTGATAAAGATCGAAATGGTTTTGTGATAAGTGAAGGTGCTGGAATGCTTGTGCTGGAGGTAATTGATAAACACATATAAGAGCTTATGATATTTTAACTTTGTATAAATATATTAATTTTTCATCTTTTATAATTATAATAAAAAGTACCTGGTGGAATGAGTCTCAGAGTTTCTTTGAATACACAATTTAAATATTCTAAGGAATTTATTTTATCAAATGATGCTTCCAAATTAGGATCTGGTAAAGCTTCCAATAATTCTTGACGAAGACAATCTTGAACCTCTGGATGCTTGGCAAGTAAGTATAATGCCCATGAAAGTGCAGTACTTGTGGTTTCATGACCAGCTGCTAGAAATGTCATGATCTATCACACAACAAATAAATTAAAACTAAATAAAATAACAAAAACAAATATATAATAATAATATATGTAATGTTTTCTTTTTTTCCCCCTTACTAGCCGCGTAACAAGACCTGTTTTTTTTT